TAGTAAGAGAGCAAGTTTGCAAGTTCCTCCCTGGTTTCCCAGTTCCCTTGTTTCTTGTACTACTACTTTTTAGGAAATTTAAGCAGCCAAGTATGTGATACATTGTCTCTTGTAAACAAGTAACTTTTGAAATGTTGTAACTTCTATGCCTTTGGCAGATCAAACAAGCCTGTTGCGACTGAAAAATGAAGTATTAAATGGTGTATCTATAATAATGAACACATGACAAGACAAACCGTTTCTCTGCTTCAAGTTTATCCATCCTCTTCCAGAGACGATTCACTAGTGCTTCTTGTTCTTGTTCCAATGTATTTTCAAGGTCAATCTTCTCTCGTCTTAGCTGAGGAAGAAAATTGTTCGGTGAAAAAGATGGGAATTGACTTTACTGTGTAAGATTTTTATTCTGGAAAGTTTAATATTCAGCCTATTGCTAAATGTGGGGGGAAAAACTGTAGATTCATTAAAACAAATAGTGAATAGCGTCAAAGTAAATGGAGATCATGGAACCACATCAATACAGGTATGTAAACTGCCTTAAGTGTGCATTGCCTTTTCTCCCTACAGGGACCCCTTCTTCACAGAACCTCTCATTCCCAAGTTTGGGTTGCTTTGTCTTTTCCCATACCACAGAAAGGCAATGTGGCCAGCAAGTGAAAGAATAGGTCCTAGCAGAGACACCACTCATTGCATATGTCACAGTAATTTTAATTGACAATGTATTCACTGCTTACACATCTACTGTATATACAATTATTTTTATGGGTAATTTTAAAAAATAATTTAAAGTGGAGAATTAAACAACAAAAGTTGACACTACAGAAGTTTATGTTTGCTTGACATGACAGGAAAGTTGTGTGCGTCACAGGTAAACGCAGAGAGCAATGAAGAAAAGTGGTTTCTCTGCTTTTAGGTAACTGTTATAGAACCAAATTCTAATGCCAGCAGAAACTAGGGTACATAGAGTTTCTCAGTTATCAAATGGCTATTAAAAGACTAGTAACCATTATTGATTCAAGTATGAGCTACCAGAAAAAAGGAAAAATCCAGCACATCAAAATATCCCAAAAGAAGCTGGACAGTAGTCAGTTCTGGATGAGAATGCATTGCAAGTTCAACAGGCACAGTTGTAACTGTGAAGACATCGAAGTTCAGTAGCTCTGAAGAGAAAAGTAACAGTAATGAAATGTACTTAGGCTTTAATACTTTGCCCTTCTATACCACTTTCCATCTGTTGATCTCAAACCAACCAGATACAGTGGAGTCGGATCTTACGTGGGGATTAGGTTCAAAAGTCAGCACGTAAGGCGAAAATCACATATAGTCAAATTACCCTTGAAAATCCCTTAAATCGCCCATAAAATACAGTATACTGTACATGGTTTTGTGTATACATTCCTGTACAGTAATATGTATAAATGTATAATGTCTACAGTAACGTACAGTATATAATAAAGTATATATGCAAAATATAATTTTACAGTACTGTATTTTTAATTACAGAGGGGTAATTATTACAGGGGTCATCACTGCTTGATGTCGATCCAGGTGACGGAGAGCTTGGGTGATGGAGAGCTAGTTGTAGACGAAGTGGTTGGCTCTGGTTCAGCTTGAGAAGTTGATTGCATAGGCTCATCTGCTGCTGGTTGTTTTTCCTTGAAAAACATGGTGATCAGCAACTGTCGCTGTTGTCTCTTGAGCTGCTCAAACATTTCTTGATATGGTCTCAAATTGTCCGTAATACTACTTGTGATTTTGAGGCTTCATTCCACAGAGGGATCGTATTCAGAAATTAAATCATTCCAGTATTTTGCTCCTTGGAACACTTCAGCAAATTTATGAAGATTCCAACTTGCTGGCTCTTCCTGTTTGTCATCATCATCTTCATCTTCTGTAGATGATTTTATCAGTTCCTCTAAGTCTTCGTTAGTTAATGTTTCTCTATGGCTCTCAATTAATTCTTCAATTTCTTCCTCAAAGATGTCAACGAAGCCATCACCACCCACTTGCCTGGCCACCTGAACAATGCATTTCACTTCTTTGTCAATGGTTGGGAAATCCTTAAAATCATTCACACATTCTTTCCATAGTTTTCGCCCACATGCGTTGGCTGTTTCAGGCTTGACTGCATTCATTGCCTATTTAATATAAGTGATGCAATTGGCAATGTTGAAGGACTTCCAACTCTCCATCACATTAAGATTGGGATCAACATCCATAGCGCTATATATCCGTGAGAATGTAAGCCTCGTGTGCGTGTCCTTGAAACAGCAAATCACTCCTTGGTCAAGAGGCTGGAGGTGGTATTGGGGGGGAGAAAGACGACTTCAACGTCGTTATACGCAAACCGGAGTGCCACAGGGTGGCCAGGAGCATTGTCTACGATCAGCAACACTTTAAAGTAAGTCCTTTCTCTTCAAGGTACCGCTTGACCTCCAGAATGAAACACTTGTGGAAACAATCCAGAAATAATGCTGCCGTCACCCAAGCTTTTTTATTTGATCGCCAGATGGCAGGCAGGAGATTTTTGTTCTTTCCTTTTAGGGCACAGAGATTTGCAGCCCTGTAGAGCAAGCCAGGCTTTATTAAATGCCCAGCCGCATTGCCACAAAACAACACAGTCACACAGTCTTTAGCTGCTTTGAAGCCAGGGGCTTGTCTTTCTGATTTTGAACTGTAAGTGCAGTTGGGCATTTTTTTTCTTTTTCTCCAGAAGAGCCCAGTCTCGTCAGCATTAAAAACTTGTTCCGGAAGATAGCTCTTTTCTTCTATGATTTTCTTTAATTGTTCGGGGTAGGCTTTTGTTGCCTCTTCATTGCAGATGCAGCTTCACCAGTCGTCTGCATGTTTTTGAGGTTAAAGCAGTTCCTAAAACTGTTAAGCCAACCTTGGCTGGCTTTGAATTCCTTCTCATCAGAAGGCTATCCTCCTTCAGCGGGAGGTTTGAACAGCACATAGAGGCTAAGAGCCTTTTCTTGCAATGTGTTGCCATTGATAGGCACACATTTACGGTTCATGTCTTCCAGCCATAAGTTTAATGCCTTTTCAGTCTTCACTAAAGTCTTATCACGCACCTGGCTTGTCACCTTAGCAGTTTTTGGAGCACTTGATGCCACGGCTTGATGAATTTCTCTCTCTCGAATCTTGGTGGCACGGATGCTAGATTCGCTGTGGCCATATTTACGCGCCATGTTGGAGACCAACATACCGTCTCTCAATAAGTTCAGCACAGCCAGTTTTTCCTACAGCATTGGAACAGATCACTGTTTCTTCAGTTGAGCACCAGATGAAGTAGTTGGCTTGTGTTTAGGGGCATGTTGTATTGAAATTTCATGTTGTATGAAAAATATGTACAGTATCTTTAAACACTAGAATCACACTCAGTGCGAGATGCTCACACTATGAGAGGCATGCAGGAACTGAGACCGACTGAGGGAACAGCAGATTCACTTCTCTCATCTCACGCTCACTCCGGGGCATACACTCATTGAGTGGAATGGTGGGCGGAATCGCCCGCACTATTTACAGGTATCTTGTTATTTTTCTTTTCTTTTCTTTTTTTTTTTTTTTGTCGAGCGTGTATAGTTGAATTTGCGTAAATTAAATGCATGTATGATGTGACTCACCTGTACTAACACCACACCTGATGTGGAAATAAACTGTTCAAACCTCCCGCTGAAGGAGGATAGCCTTCTGATGAGAAGGAATTCAAAGCCAGCCAAGGTTGGCTTAACAGTTTTAGGAACTGCTTCAACCTCAAAAACATGCAGACGACTGGTGAAGCTGCATCTGCAATGAAGAGGCAACAAAAGCCTACCCCGAACAATTAAAGAAAATCATAGAAGAAAAGAGCTATCTTCCGGAACAGAGATTATGATTTGCTCACAGCCATTCTGCATATTTATGGCTCAGTCAGAAATTGAATCCCAATCTCTTGAATCTCAGACCTGTGCTTTAGCCCTTACATACAGTGCACCCTTCCTCTAAGACAAGTGAATTGTCATTATTAATAAATTAATTCAGATACCAAAGCAAAATTAGATATTGAAGTGCTTCATGAAATAGTTTACCTTCCAAATACAAGTTTTTTCATCAAAGCTGAGTACAAAATTTGTTACTGCTAATGAAAAGAATATTGTATTCAAATCATGACTTTTTAAAAATGAAAATAAATATCTCTATCATCAGTTAAAGAAAATAAAAAAACTGAAGGAAGAACTAATAAGCCTTTCCTTTGTATTTGTGTGACAGAATCTTTAATACAGACAGTTATTTTTTAATTTTAAAAAGTGCTTTTGAATTGAGATTCTAGATTAATAGTTAAGGAAATTTATACTTAATACAACCAAAAGTCAAGTCCAGAAACAGTATGTTGCAGTAAACATTCAAGGCATTAGAATGTAGATCCTGACTCTAGCAAAAACTGAAGATATACACTGAAAGTGTTTAGCACACTGCTCTTTAGCCAATTCATCTCTCCAGTGCTTGGAAGAATACAGGACATTCTGAGAATTCACTCCTCCCTACCCCCAAAATTACCACCATACACATTGTTACTACACCATGAAGGGAAGTTTAGATCGGACATTAGGAAAACCTCCTAACTGTCAGGGTGGTTAAGCACTGGAATAAATTGCCTAGGGAGACTGTCTAACCTGATCTTAAAAATCTCCAATAACGGAGATTCAACGAACACCTGTCAGGGGTGGTCTAGATAATACTTACTTCTGCCATGAGTACAGAGTAGCGGACCAGATGACCTTTCGAGGTGCTTTCCAATCCTATGATTCTATGATCACCTGATGATAGGGGGTGGCTACAGATCAGCTGTTGCAGTACAGTGGTCTCTGCATCACTTAATTCATACAATTCAGATTACATTAATCATATCTGAACTCTTCTTTTAATTGCTTTTACATTTCAGGTACAGCCTAGCACAACTGAAAAAACCTTATGTGAGGAAAACAAAGTAATATAAATTTTCTTCAGTCAATCAACAATTACCAACAAACTCAGATTCCATCAGACACTAAAAATAAATGAGCCTTGCATCATGCCCTGAAGGTCAAGAGACAGGCTCTGATGGACTCCCAAGTGAAGTGAACTCCCGAAGCAAGGGTCCTCAACCATGGAGGTTCCACTGCCACGAGTGCACCTGCAGCAGCACAAAGTGTTCAAATACAGGTACGGAAAGCAAATATCTCCTTATAGACCTTAAATGCTGGAATGGGACGTACATAAGAACAGCCATATTGCTCCATCTAGCCCAGCATCCTGTCTTCTGACACTGGCCAATGTCAGGTTCCCCACAGGGAATGAACAGAACAGGTAATCATCAAGTGGTCCATGCCCTGTTGCCCATTCCCAGCTTCTGGCAAACAGAGGCTCAGGACACCATCCCTGCCACCCTGGCTAATAGCCACTGATGGACCTGTCCTCCATGAACTTATCTAGTTCTTTTTTGAATCCTGTTATAGTCTTGGCCTTCACAAAATCCTCTCGCAAGAAGTTCCAAAGGTTGACTGTGCATTGTGTGAAAAAATACTTCCTTTTGTTTGTTTTAAACCTGCTGCCCATTAATTTAATTTGGTGACCTGTAGTTCTTGTGCTATGAGAAGGAGTAAACAACACTTCCTTATTTACTTGCTCCACACCAGTCATGATTGTATAGACCTCTATCATATCCTCCCTTAATCGTCTCTTTTCCAAGCTGAAAAGTCCCAGTCTTATTAATAACTCCTCAGACGGAAGCCATTTCATACCCCTACTCACTTTTGTTGCCCTTTTCTCAACTTTTTCCGATTCCAATATATCTTTTTTGAGATGGGGCGACCACATCCGCACACAGTACTCAAGATGTAGGTGTACTTATGGATTTATACAGAGCCAATATGATATGTTCGGTCTTATTATCTATCCCTTTTTTAATGATTCCCAACATTCTCTTTGCTTTTTTGACTGCCACTGCACATTGAGTGAATGCTTTCAGAGAACTATCCACAATGACTCCAAGATCTCTTTCTTGAGTGGTAACAGCCAATTTAGACCCCATCGTTTTATATGTATAGTTGCGATTATGTTTTCCAATATGAGTTAGTTTGCATTTATCAACACGGTATTTCATCTGCCATTTTGTTGCCCAGTCACCTAGTTTTGAGAGATCCTTTTGTAGCTCTTCGCAGGCAGCTGTGTTCTGCACTAAGGAGCTTCCAAGTGGACTTCAAGCACAGACTAAAGTCAGTTGTGTCTACAAAATGAGTTTGGCAGGGACTAGTTACATTTTAAACTAAGGGCAAGGGGCTATGGCTACATGGTTAAGATCGTACACTACGCTCTGATTAATAGGAAAATTCCCACTGTCAGTGGAAATTTGCATAGACACAGGTGATAGAATATGGTCCTTAGGTTCTCACCAAACTTAGTTACATTCAGCATTCTATAATGAAAAAATGGTATTTTTAGGACCACAATAATTTCTGCACTTTGTTTTTCTGTGCTGTATATCCTCCTTTCTTTGGTTTTCCACCTATATCCCCCTCAAAACTCCATATTTTGTGCGTATTGTTCTTTCTTCTCTATGCTTTTCCTTTGTCTCCTTTTTGAACTCTATTGAGTTGAACTATCTGCAGGACTTGAACTTACTGTTTCCCACAGCATCCCAACTCTACCTCTGGGCTTCATCCATCCCTTTTCTCCTTCACACCTTACCATATTGCTGGCCCCAAAGAGTAACCTTTCTTCTTAAGAATCAAATCCTGTTCTCTTTTTTTTCCAAGAACTAGGGCTAAAGGGGCGGTTGTAGCCCTAGATTCTACTCTTAGCTAAAGTCCTACTTATCTCCCCAACTGCATCTCTTCTAGCTGCCCTCTGTGCTTTGCTCATTAGGGAAGCAGCTGAAAGAAGAAACAGTAAGAGGCCACAACTAGCATTGCAATCACAACAGCAGACTACAGTACGTGGATGGCAAACTGGGACAACCATCTCATCCTGTATCACTGCATCAACAATGGAGAAGCACATTACAGTTCATTTTAGCTAAAATATCCAGCTAATGAAATTGCCAGAGTTTCAAATTTAGCTGTTATGCTTCAGAGTGCGATGTCTCAATGAGAGTTAAAATCTCTCAGATCTGTTGTTTTCAGCTATCTGCCTTAAGACAAAGAACTACATCAGGTAAAAAATTCAGAAACACAAGGGAAAACAAATGTTTCTAAACAAAATGAACTGCAGAATCATAACTGTCAGAATGGATTACTCCTGGAGTGGGTTGCCCTGGCCTGTGCCACAAAAACAGCACACTATAGTACTCAAATCTGGAAGAGATGAAGGCACTTCAAGTTCTGCACTAGAGATAGTGAACTTAGTCATGTGCAGTAGAAGACACAATGGGTCACCAATACTATCTGAGAATCTGTGACAGTGCTGGATCCCATAGAACTCCAACACAGCAAGCAATGTAGCCTCTGATGTTAACACATATTGTCTCCACAATAGTTTGAAACCATTCCTTAAAATCATCCTTCCTCCTCCTCAAGCATAACATCAACATCAAGATAGTCTTATTCAAATCCAGCACCAGGTCTGCCACACCTAGGTAACTCTGGGGAAATCATTCTCTCTCTGTGCCTTAAAATCCCTACCTGTATAATATTTCCCCTTTCTTGCCTTTTGACTGTTTCTTACCACATGCATATACAGGTTGTAGCACAAGGGGGTCACAATCTCAATTGGGGTCTCTAGGTATTAACATAACAGTAATAGAGGAGTTAAGTGTTGTTTCAATTCATCCCCTTAACTTTAAAAAAAAAGTGTGGGGGGGGGGGGGAGAAAGAGAAATAGTAAGAATGTGCTGTAGGGGGTTTAAAGGAACTTCGGATTTATTTTACCATACTGAAAAGAGAAAATTATATAAACAAAAACTTTAACACACCAAACTCATAGGAGCAAGAAAATTCAAAGACAAGATTGACCATCTATCCTTGACTCAAAACAACTTTGCACAGATATAAAATTAGTGCATTATACCAGGTACCTAAGTACAAGAAAACGGGAGGACAGCACAGTAACACTACAGTCCTTTTATCTTTGAACTTCCTTGTTTTTTGAACATTCTAACAAAAACCTACTTCTTGTATTTAAATTTGATTATTAAAGTTTTGTGTTCCACAATTTTACCAAGCTGTCTGCCCAAGATACAGTAACATCACAAATACTAATGAATTTACAGAGAGACAAGGTGAGTGAAGTAATGCCTGTTGGCAAGAGAGACGAGTTTTCAGGTTTACCAAGACTTCTGTATCAAGACCAGAACAGTTCTATGTAAGCTTCAAAGCTTGTCTCTCTCAGCAATAGACATTAGCCCAATAATACACATTACCTCAACCACCTTGTCTCTCCAATATTCTGGGACCAAACAGCTCCAACACACAAGAAATTTACAGACACTCTTTGCACTGATATTTCAATTCAGTTTGTCTGCACTTTAGTTCTAAGTGGTCTCCACCACCACCTTGTGGCTAAGAGAGTTACTTCAGTTTAACGTTTGTTTCCAGATTGTGATGGTCATGATTTTGTCAGGTACGACATTCACCTAATTTTCTAATCCAATTTAAGTATCAGACAGAAAAACAGAATAATATTTAGTATATATAGTATTTGACATGTTCAAAGTGCAAAACAAAAGTAGGGGGCATAAAATCATGGTTAAAATAATTAAAATCCATGTTTACATTATAAAATGGGATGAAAGTAAAGAATTCTCATGTAATTAGAAAATCTGATTTAAATAAAAAATTTTTAATGTTCCATTTCTAAAGTGTATGTGTGATACTTTCATTAGTTTTCCAGTTACTAGTAGGAAAAAAACATCTATGTAAATTCTGGAATTCTACTAGTCTCACATTTAAAATGCTCTTCTATGCTGAAAAAGACAAGTCTAGGGCCTTGTATTGTGAGGAGACCACAAATTCAAACAACTTGATTAGCAAATAGCCTGTGACATATTTGCAACCAACATACCCTTCCAATATGCTCAATTTCCATAAATAAAGAAAGTTGAAATCCTGTGGCCAGGCGATCCTTCATCAGGTTTTGCCTTTTGAAGTCAATGGCACGTGTACTCATAAGTCATTAGGTGCTTTTGAAAATCCCACAATTAGGTGCCTAAATATGGGTTGGAAAAGTCTGGCCTACCTTTATAAAAAGTTCACAGTAATTTTGTTAATATACTGAAAGTAGAAATAACTTTTCAGTGTAGAGCTTTTGGTTTTGAAGTGACAGCTTTATGCCACAAGAAGTTTAATAAGAACAGTTTTTGCTCCCTAATGATGCAATGTCCATGCTTAATTTTAAACAGAGAAAGTCCCACTGAAGTACAGTAAATGCGAATCAAGTACACCTGCTTAAGTATTTGCAAGATCAGGACTTCAATTTCCAGTATTTTGATTTTTGCCTCTAGCAGTGTTGTAAAATTCAAAAGATACCCTATCCATAAAAGAATTGTAAAAAATTTATAATTTAATTCATTAAAGTTTTCACCTAAAATTGCGACAGCACACATTTTCCAATTAGTTTTACAGAGCCTCAATTTAAATCAATTACAAAAAATCAAATGATTTAAAAGTCACTCCATCCCAACATTACAAAGACAACTCCCAACTCATTTGAAATCATTTGCAATAGTATATAAAAATATCCCATAAATTGGATTACTAAAAATGAAAGTGATAATTCTCTATTTACAGTCTATTTATGTTTTGCATTTTGGGTATAATTTCTCTAACTTTGTTGACAGTTTCGTTACCTAGTATCATGTATGAACATAATGATATGCTTGCCCTTGCTCTGGGAGTCCTCATGTAGAGTCTTTCCAAGCCACTTTGGGAGTGTACAGCTTTTCAGTCTATTTCCCTGAATCCCTGCACAAAGCCAGGATGAAGCAGGAGTTTCTCCTGCTATACTGAACTATTCCCTGTGTGAAGCAGAGACCCCATTTTCCCTATCCACAGAGCAGGGGTGGGAAACACGTGTCAAGTGGGGGTAGCATATGCACTGTAAGAGACAGCATCTAATACGTGGTGAAGAGCAGCAGCTCGCACCAGCCCCATTACCAGTCTGTTTATGAGCCTAGAGGCTAAGTGCTAGACAGTGCTAGACACAGTATTAACACCTTTAAAAGGTGTGAGTGCTGGCGGAGAGAAGAAGATGATTTTATTGTCATTTATATAGTCTATATTTCAATATTAATTTTAGGTTTCAGAGTAGCAGCCGTGTTAGTCTGTATTCGCAAAAAGAAAAGGAGTACTTGTGGCACCTTAGAGACTAACCAATTTATTTGAGCACAAGCTTTCGTGATGCTGTTTTCTAAGTTACTTTTTCTAACGTTTCCCTCTACAATACAGAGATAGGACCATCCGGGTCTGGAGGGAAGTCATCCCTCCTTTCCAAAGTATTGCAAGGTGGCCCCTCAGGTGTGTATCACTCCTATGAGATGGGAAAGAAGCAGGATCATAAAGTAGATGCTGGAGCATTATATTGAGGTAAGTGGATCTGGAAATATGGGGAGTAACTTTCAACCAATAATTTTTTTCTGTGTGGTCTTTCAGTTGCATTAAGTGTGAGAGATACTGCTGAAGCAGTGGACAGACTGATGTGCAAACTTCTCCAGTAGAAGTACATACACTGAGGGGAACGATGTGGTGTTTGAGATGTGGCTGCTGAACAACAAACATACATCTGTTTTTAGGGTAAAACCATGTGGGACTAAGCTATGTTTTACTCAGTTATTATTTTATCATTTTGTGCTTTCCCTTGCTTCATTGTAAACACCTGTGTATCGTTTCAAGGACTTGTATGTGGCTACAAGTGCGTACAGGTGAGCTAATATGTTATAATGGTGGTGGCAACACCAGTATTTCTCAGTGCCCAAAAGGCCAACGTACTTTACAAACCTTGTAACAGCCCTGTGAAGCACTATTATACAAATAGGCAGTCTGAAGCATAAGATTAAATAATTTACCATAAAGATCACAAAATTCTATCAGCTATTTCCTTTGAATATAACATTTTTTTCCTATTCCAAAACAGTAAAAAATTGAACAATGACCTCCAGCTAAATTATAGATTTTAAGAAATGGGTCAAATTTGGAGCCTAAAACATTTATGTATTTTTAAATCACTTTTTCCCCCAGTGGAAAAAAAAATCTGAACAGAAGTTGTTCTCTAGGATAAACACTTTATTTCAAAGAACAGAAAATAGATGTTTACCTGCTCCAAAGTGAGCTGCTTAGAAATAGTATCGTTTTCCAGTTTTTTAATTTTCTTCATCAGCTTGTTCACTTGAAACTCCTGTTCCTGCTCTAAATGCTGCTCCAGTTCAGCCTTCTCATGCTGTAGCTAAAAATTCAAGATACATATGAAAATATTTCAATGCAAAATTATAAAAGACTACAAAGCAGATTACACAGGACTATAAGCAACACCACATTTATTCTTTCTGGATATTAAAGTCTTCTCTACTAGCTATATTCAACTCTCATAGAAGATCTGAAAATGTACACCACACTTTTTAAGATCAACATTTTAAATTATGTTTAATATATAAAACAGATTAACATAGCATAAATTTCCAAATATTAGCAAAGACAAAAATCTTTCTTGCGTTAACCCCATCAAACGGGGTCAGCTCTTGGAGTCCTCTCCATCCAAAGTGCTCTGTGTTCACTGCCATGTCCTCTATCTCATCACATCTTTCTTTATGACATCCCACAACTTCTTGAGTCAGCCTCTTTTTCATTGAATCTTGATCTGTTGGACTCTTAGTTGTCAGGACGGTACTTGACATAACCAAACCATTTGAGCCTGAATTCCATTTTTTTTGTTTATGGGCGTTACTTTGAACATTTCTAACACACACATTCCTCCTGGGGTCTTTCTTGCTTATCCCATTCATCCACCTCAACATTCACATTTCTCTGGAACAGATCATTCAGTCATCCTTCTTTGTTGCCCACATTAAAGCTGGATGGACTATTCTTTTGTAGACTCTCTCAATCTTACTGGTATCTTCTTGTCACATACTACACCACTTATCTCTTTCCATTTGAGCCATGCATTTATTATCCTAGCTCTAAATTTCTTCCTCCATTTCCCCAGATTCTGGAACGCAGATACTTGAAACTTTACCTTTTCGATACAGTCTGCCCATCTAGTTTCAAGGATAATTCTTCATTGTTCACATTGTTAAAATTACATACCACCTACTCTTTTTCCTATACTTATTTTGAGGCCATGTCTGTTCAACACATCTCCCCTTTTTTCAAGATCCTTTTCTAGACCATCTTTTTCCCTCACTGTATAGAACAATATCATCTGCAAACAGCATGCACCAAGTTGCCTCCTTCACTAAGTTCCTTGTGAGTGTATCCAGATGAGGATAAACAAGAAAAGGCTCAATGCTGATCCCAGACCTTTTCCAATAGTTTGCCTGTTTCACCACTAAAAGTTCTGACTATTGACATCGCCCCTACGTACAGGGCTTGAACAAGCAGCACAAATTTTTAATACCATTTTCTCTCTCATTCACCACCAGATCTCTTAAAATGCATGCACTTCTAATATTACAAGTTGTATGAAAATTGAGAAATGCTGTTATGTAGCAGAATATTGTTAAAACAGAGGTAACTTTCTAAGAAAAAACACAATTTGTAATTTCAATATCATAAGTATATTATTCCCTAGTCTTATACATTCGTAGACCAGAATTTAAATCCTGCCTCTGATGGTCATATCTTCAAGCTCACCTTAAATACCCACCCAACACCACTCCCAAAAATATGGTATGACTAGAGTTTTCAGAAGAGGGAGTTAAGATTGTAACACGAGGGACCGGAGCAGTAACAGAAATGCACATAAACCTTGCACAGCAGTGCCTAGCTCAAGGTAACGCAAGTTTTTCACTTATCAATTTAAAATTTGCTCTAATTTAAAAAAAAAATTGAACCCATTCTCTCATGAAAATTAATACCAAAGCCAGCTGCTGATAATCAGGTTAACTTTTAGCTAGTGAATTAATAACAATGAAGAGGTACATGACCAGCAAGTCTTAGGTCAGGTCTGCAATGAAATGTTATATTGGCATAATTACTTTAATCAGGATGTGAAAATAAACCCACATCCTTGACCAATGTAGCAATGCTCACATGGCTGCATCTACACCATGGGTTCTGTCAATGGAAGAGGGCTTCCATGAATCTAGCTAATTTCATTTGGGGAGGTGATGTTCCTAGACCAACAGAAAACCCTTCTGTTGATATAAAGTGAGTCTACATTACACTGCTGTTAATGTCAAGTGTGTGATTATGGACTGTTAACATCAGCAGCCTATCAGACAAATAAAATCAGAATGGTTGTTCAAAAACTAACCTAATAAATGACATGAACCAGAAACATTTATTATTTAATCAAGTTTTGCTGCAACTGCATAATCTGGCTCATCACGTCACGGTTGCTAATGCTTGGGTGAGGAATCTGCATCAGAGGAAATGATGAGGCTCACTCACTTATGCTGTACCTATTGTAGGACCCATTAAATCCGATCCTAGCAGCGTGAGCACACTGCAGCCAAAGCACAAGGTTGTGCTGATCAGAACTCCAATGGCTCCATCTGATTTTCGGCAAAGACAAACAGGAATGCTTTCTTTTCTACTTGACTCAAATATATGAAGCACATCAGAAAGCTGAGTACCTGAGGAGCACAGAAGAAAGCACTGCCCAAGTGAGAAACATTGGTAAGGACTTGCTGTGCTGGGTTCTGCAGGATTCTGACCTCTTTGGTGGGCTGAGAAGCAACTTCCTGGGGCTCTTCTCCTCTTTGTTCTTTTGATTCCACAAGACAAAGTATGGCAAAAAACTAGTGGTGGTACTTCCCCAGACACCAAACTCTCATGACAAAGTGTGATGTCACCCTCAGATTGCACAGATCATCCCTCTCCTTTCTTACTTACTTTAATCAGCAGTGAAATAGTTAATAATGCTGATATTTCAATCTCGCTTTTCCCCAATAACAGCTGCAGGTTGGCATGGCTAAATCTCTCACTGACACAGAAAACATCCACTTAAGTAAACAGTGCATTAAGGGAAGGGTGGAGTATTTTCAGATCGACACTGTGCTTTTAATTAAATGTGCAGCACTTAGGTATTAGTGATGGTTGCTTATAAATACACAGACAGCTGCAATTTGAAGAGAAGGGTAAAAAATATGCACTTGGTAACTGGAACTGTCAGCTACATAACATTGTCTCAAAGATGAAAATACTAAGTGGTTTAGTAAATGGGTGTTTTTAAAAGGCAGCAAGGTAAAAAGATGGGCAGGCTTGGGATAAATTTAAGACTGCAAACAATTTAGATGGCCAGACTGCTAAAAAGAAAGCTGTGCAGTGACAGAAAGCATCAGAAATGCTCCCAAAAGACAGTAGCAAATACAAAATTGATGTAGGTGTAAACAAAAAGTAGTCTACTGTCAACACCTTTGGTTTGTGTATTATACTTGGCTGACGATTCAGTGCAAAATTAAGTGAACAAAATTAATTTTTCCCTTTATTGTGATCCCGGTATCTTATGAGTTTCTTGAATTCAAATGCATTTTCCATTCAAATGCATATTTACATTTGACTCTTGTGGAAATAATTAGTCTTATTTCCTACAAATGCAGTTTCAGATAAACTGAAGAAAATCTAGATTTTTGTAGTCTGTCTAGTGTCTTCAACCACAGATATAATCTATTTGGATTTTTAAAAGATATTTCTGAAACTGAGAAGTTACACAGGCTTTGTTCCCAGATGCCATCAGGTAAATGATACACATTTTGTATGCAAACAATTATTTTATTTGCATCTTGGCATTAACATGACATTTGAGTGGGGTCAGCAGCTTGTTTTTACAAGATATAGTATTTTCAAAAGGACCAAGAAGAGTCAGATATCAAATCTATTTTTATTGCCCTTAGTTTGCCCAAATACACAAATTGTGCCTATTCACTTGATGGTGTCCCTTTTAACATTATCCACAGGTCATCATGTGAGATACACCAAATTTAGAACAACTAGCAAATAGTACAATATTGGTAAAGGATACTGACAAAGCAGAATCTCACTAATTTTTAAATGTAGAGAGTCAAAAGGATAAATGAGTTTGTAAGTAAAAAAAAAACCTCAATTATCCCTTTGGGAAACCTGTTGCATGCAAGATTAATTTTCAAAATATATTCCATGGAATCTCAAAAGGTGTGACAAGTGCATGCAGGGAAAAACTTGCAACAACAAATCCTATACCAAAACACATTTAATGGAGTTATGCAAACAAAGTTATCATAATTCTCAAACGAGTAGTTAATTTTAACAAAGTCCCTGAATCCTATGTTTCCAAACTTTTCAAAGATTTGGTTGGTCAGCAGAACCCGATCAAATAAAAGACAAATACAAGACATTTAATTTAAAACAAGGGCTGTAAAAATAGTTATTAGTGAAGTGGTTGTGTCACTAAAAGCCTTTTTTCAGATAATGAAGGATGTACTTCATTCCAAGATGTCTGCTGAGGTGGTATTTTATCTCATTGTGCAAATGCAGCATTTTACCAGCAGAACCAAATGCTGTGTTGCATAAAGCTAATTTAACACAGTGCTTCTACAAGCCCAATAAATAAGCATACAAATTTTACTGAAGGCTAATATCAACCATTTAAAAACATACATTAGCAAACCGGGCTATGCCATACTACAGCAGAAAGCACAGTCTAAGAAAGATAGGCATCCTGGGGAAGTTATCTGCTTCTCTTATTGTAAGTGCAAGTCAAGCGAGCAAGTAATAAAAATGTTTCAAAATCAATTTTATAACAGTTGAAAAACTAATGCAATTTTATTGTGTTTTATAACTGTAATGAATAATAGCATGCTGAATTGGGAAATTCTTAAGAAACTACTAATGGGAGTCCGTGCTTTGGTAGTCAGCTTTCACATTTAAAATGTATTAGAAACATTCTAGGAGCTCTTTCCAGATGCCACTCAATGCAGTGTGTAAGTCCCTTCCAATCTGAAGAACAAAGATTCAACAATGCAACAGTTCAGGTAACATGAAAAAAAAGTCACTCTGCCAACTGTTCGGCAATTGCATAATGTGGCAGCAATTATTTCTTGGCAGCAGAATAGTAATAACTTGAAAAAATAAGAGGCCAAGAATTCTACCTTGGTTAGCAGAATATATCACAAGGCCTCCCTGTGACGTCTAAAAGTCTTTCATGTATGTCAGTTTATCTTAAATTTCTCAATTAACCAAAATTGCTTAGGAACACGTTAACTTTAATTTGAGAAAGTTCAACTCCAGGTCAGCTCAATGTTGAGATCAGAAAGAACGTTTTTGAGTCTTAACATTCCTATCATTTCAGATTAGGATGGGCACCCAAGATCAGGTGCTTATTGCCAAACAGAGAGAGGAGAGAATTACAAAAACTCAAGACTCTTTTTATGGACTTAATTGGAAGTCTGACAGCCTCCAATGGAAGTCCGATCCAAAACAGGATCACTGTCTGAGACAGAAAGGATTCTGTCTGAAGCACAGAAATCCCATATGGAAGAGGAAAGATGCCAGTTTAGCATCTTTTTAGCGGTCTTTTTCCTATTTTTACATCTTCTCATGACAACACTTCTCAGCCACATGTGTGCAGTATCCCTGAACAATTACACATGACCTTTGCTCCCTTACCTCACTCTGGAGATTGCAACAAGCCCAGCCTATACACTTCATATAGTAAGAAACTTAAAGCTGCTCTCAAACCAGAGATGGTGCATGTAGCTTAAAATAACATGTCCTATTATTAAGTGTAATGAGCAATGAAGTCAATGACAGCTGGAAACCTGCCTATCAAAATTAACTAAACAAAATTCACTGTACATGATTGGTATTCATTTTTCTTATATAGAAAATAGGTTTTTGGCTTCAGTGGGAGTTGCTTGGTGCCCACCACTTTTGAATATCAGACATTGAGGAACCTAATTATGAACACTAGGATCCTATTTTTGAAAATCTTGGGCTATGGTAATGCAACATTACGGTTATACAATTCAAATAAAGATGGAAGTTACTTACCATAAAACTGGAGGTTCTTCGAGATGTGTGGTCCCTATCTGCATTCAACACATGGGATACACATGGGCATCATGCTCCTGCATCTGGAATGTTTTGTAGGCAGTGTCCATTGGCCCACATGTGTGTGTAGATCTCCTTGTGCTCCAAACTGAGGGCATAAAATCTCTTTCCAGTTTCCCATTCTTAGCGCAGTTCAAACAATCCACAGCTGAAGGGACAGAGGATGGGTAGTGGAATACAGATAAGGACCACATGTCTTGAAGAACCTGCAGTTACAGCTAAGTAACCTTCATTTCCTCTGAGTGATGGCCGTTATATGTATTCAACACGTGGGAGATTCACACGCAATAAATCAGACAGGAGGTGGGTGCACAGATGCAGAAGTGACAGCTGACTGTAGTACTGCTATCCTCAGAGCTGTATCCACAGTGATGACTAGACCGGAGGGTAATGTCTCAAGAAAGTATGCAAAGAGTTCCAACTTGCCCTCTGGTGGAATGAGCCCTCACTCTCTCCAGAGTGGGAATATGAGCTAATTGGTTACAAAGGGTAATACAACCTGAGATCCATTCTGAAAGTCTCTGCATCAATGTGGCTTGACCCCTCACGATTGCTCTGCTTTGGAAACAAATAGTTAAGGAGTCTAACATCCTTCATTCTTTACAGATCAAAAGCCATAGCCCTTTAGACATCTAGAGAATGCAACTGTCTCTCTTTATCTGAAGCATGTGGTTTTGGAAAAATACTGTTAAATGGATTTTCTGACTTATATGAAACTTGGAACCTACTTTAGGAACAAATCTAAGATAGATTTGTAATGGGACTTTTTCTTTATAAAAGGCAGTATATGGTGGGTCTGCCAGAGTGCTCTGAGCTCACTAACTCCTCTGGCTGACATTCTGGCTACCAGAAAGGCCACCATCATGGATACATGGGCCACAGAGCACGTGACCAGAGGTTCAAAGGTGAGTGACAATAAAACAAAAACTGAGATACTACTGAGATTCAAACCTCCCCATTGGTGGAAAGGACTGAGAATTCCCTTCAGAAATCTAATTGTGACAGGATGAGTGAATATTGTACGGTTATTCACCGGAGGATGGAAAGCACAGATTGGTGCTAAATGCAGTCACAGAAAACTGAGTGCAAGACCCAAAGACTTAAGGGTAAGTATATACTCTAAGATAGCAGGGATCCTGGCTGATTCCGGAGTCAACTCACACTGGTGAGCCCAAGGGGAGAAACACTTCCATTTTGCTAACAGCTTTTTGTAGTATTTTCTGCTTTGGTTAAGGATGGATTGTACCCTTTCAGAATGTGAGCATTCTACTTCTGATGCCCATTCAAATACCAGGATCTCAGTTGAAGCAGTCCCACACTGTAGTGCTTGAACCCACCCTTGTGCTGTATTAGAAGCTCCAGTAATGTGGGGATGTTCATGGGTAGGAGAACTGAGAGCATCAGCAGATCCATAAACCAGAACTCTCTCTGCCAGTTGGGTGCAATCAGGATGACTCAAGCTCTTTCTTGGTGGATCTTCTGCAGAACTTGTGGCATCACTGGGATGGGAGAAAAGGCATATAACAGGCAAACCTTCTGCAACATTGACAGGTCATCTCCCATAAAGCCCTTGCCCAGGATTGCTCTGGAGCAGTACCAAGGAAGTTTCCTGTTCTCCCACAAGTCGAAAAGGTCCCAGGCTGCTGTTCCCCATTCGGTCAAGATGTCATTGAGAACCAAACTGTGGATCTCCCATTCATTATTTGCAAAAAGGTCTGCTTGGGCATTCGACTAAGGAGTTGTATACTCCTGCTAAACAAACTGCTGATAGAGTTATGCAATGGCTGATGCAACAGTCCCAGGAGGTGACTGCCTCTATGCACAAGAGGGAAAGATTTCACTCCCCCCTGGTTGTTCATATAAAATATCATTGTCATGTGATCTTACATTATTTGGACATGTCTGGATCAGATGAATGGGGGGAGGGAGGTGTTGCAGGCATGACAAACCGCAGGGAGTTCTAGTAAATTGATATGTATTCTGGACTCGCATAGGGTCCAGATGCCTTGTGGCATATGATCACCCATATGAACACCTCAACCCAAGAAGGAGGTGTCAGTAACCATGCTTGCTTCAGGGGTTGGTGTGAGGAAAGGGATCCCCACACCAACCTTCTCTCATTTTGTCCAGCAAATGAGAGAGTTAAACTTTGGGCAGAACTATCACCTTTCTGTGTACTCATCAGAGAAAGGCAACAAAACAGCAAGATGCCAGGCTTACAGGCTGTGAAGATGAAGTCTGGGAAACAGCACGATGTGTGCATGAGGCCAAGGAAAAGGCCTGCTTGACAAGGATCCCATAGCGACCTGATATATGAGAACACTCATGGCCTGAAATCTCTTTAGATGTAGATACACTCTTGCTATAGTTGAGCCCACTGTCACCCCTATAAAATTTAGGAATCTTGTGGGAGGCAATGTGGACTTTTCATGAATGATGCAGACATCCACGGAAGGCAGAAGGCCGAGCTAGACACTGGTTGCCCGCTAGACTTCCTTGTAGCAACTTCCCATCAGAAGCCAGTCGCTGAGCTAAGTTAAGACTAAATCCCTGTCTTCTCATCTAAGCTGCCACTTCTGAAAAAATCTTCGTAAAAAACCCTGGGTGCTATAGCTAGGCCAAAGGAAAGGACTCTGAATTGGTAATGCTCATAAATCAAAGAGGAACAAGGAAACTGCTGTAGGCTGGGTGGATATCAGTTAAAATATGCATCTTTCACACTGAGAGCCATGAATTATGTGTCTTCCTCTAACAAGGGAATTATTGATACCAAGGATATCATGTGGAATTTTACTTTCTGAATGAACCCATTCTGCTGTCTCGGATCAAGAAGTGGCTTCCATCTCCCATCCTTCTTGGGAATCAAGAAGTAAGGGGAATAGAATCCCTTCACTTGATGTTGAGGTAGAACCTTCTCTATGGCTGCTCTTGGGAGATCTTGTCGTAGAATCTCCTCATGAAAATCAACTGGGAAAGGGGGGATTTGTGGAGAGGAGGTACCAGAAACTCATTCAGATAACGGCCATTAATAATCTCTAATATCCATTTGTCTGTAGTTCGAACCCTCCAGTTTTTGGCAAATTGTGTAAGGTGGGCTCCCAATGTCAGAGGAGGGGAATAAAGGGACATCAATAAAGGATACAGGTCTCAACAGTCCCATAAAAAGAAGTTCTTCACCTCAGAGTTAGAGTATGACATGGGGGTGGATGTTGCAGAGATTGGGTTCCTATGTCTAAGCTCTCTGTCTCCTGCATGGTAACTCCTGAGGATGTTGGTGGTAAAACCACTATGGAGGTAGTCTTGCCCTTTAACCCTGTCTATAGTGTTTTCTCTTCGGAGGAGAAGTACAAATACCCAGTGAGCAAAGCACTGTCCTTGAGACTCTGAGGGAGTGCAGAGACTCACCTGCCTTCTTGTGGAATAGATTAATAGTATCAAAGGGCAGATCTTGGATGGTACTTTCCCACCTCACTAGGAAAAGCTGAGGATTGTGACCGTTATTGTAGCCATCCTCCTCGCACTATCTACCACATCCACCACAGCTGGGAAGGAAGTTTTGACCACCAGTCTGCCCTCGTCCACTAAGGCCTCAAAGTGGGCTCTCTCTATCCTCCTCTGGGAGCTTGTCCTGGCATTAAAAAAAATTATTATAACTAGTAACATCATATTTGGTCAAGAGGGCCTGATAATTTGAGATCCTGAACTGGAGGGAGGTGAAAGAAAAGACCATTTTCCCGAAAAGGTCAAGTTGCTTCTGTCTCTTATCAGAGGGAGTAGCCTTTGGGTGTTGCTGCTTGAACCTCTCTGTAGCTCAATATTGCCAGTAGGATGGATCAACTGGTGGTGGAGGATCCCATGGCACAGGGTACCACCCATCTTTTGACCGACTGTATTTGGTTGGAGGCTGGAACTCTGATTTTCTGGGGGTCCTGTCTTGTACCACCTCTGTCCAATGCTGCAAAGGCTCCTGAGGGGCCTCAGACTCATCTAA